AATCGAACAGCAGGGGAAGGGCCCCCCGGGGAAACGGTTCATCACGTTCCATGACCAATCAATCTGGGAGCAACAGGATTTTGGGGCAAAACTGATCTGTCTGCCTTTAAGTAGGTAGCGTTTTGCGTAACGGCCCTTGGAATTCGGCGGCGGAAAGCAATGCGCACACCTAATAGAATCTTCAAAAAGGGTACTGTCCCGTGGAAGTAACATCTTGAAAAGGGGCAAGGTTTTTTGGATTGGGCGATATCTTCTCAAGTTATCAGAATAGCAGTAGAACCAGATCAGATTTATATTATCCGAAATAATAGCACAAAATGATGTGTGCTATCTGGAACGCACAGGGAGATACACATAGGATGATTAAGAAACAAATGAAATCACAAGAAACGGCAAGAATTGCATACGCATGGTATACAGAGCACTATGGATTTATATATTGCAGCGTGAAAGAGACCAAATAGATTCAGAATTTGAAGAGGGGCTTGATGATGAGATGCAGAAGAAAGAAGGGAGGACTTCGAGTACTGTTCAGATGATCTGCTGCGCATGAGCAGCTGCTATGGCTCCATATGTTCCGAAAAGGAAACGAGCTGCTGTTGCTGGATTGACTGCAGGCATCGACAAAGGGCGAAGTGATAATGATGAACCAGCTGGATTTGATAACAGGCTGAAAAGTCACTTGATTAAACTGAGACAGCTGATAACCTTCGGTCTGTTCAGCTTTTTCAGTACGAAACTCCCTGCAATTGATTTTGACAGCATTAAGCATTTACGAACGGTCATTTCCTTTTCATATCGCCTTACAAGCGACTCGTATCTGGGAGTTTTTTGAAAAGAGGAAACAGTACGAAGAAGTTGACTTTCATCATCCAACCTTGGATGAGAAGCCCTACGCCTTAGATTTACTGGGATCGTGGATATATATTCGGGTGCGCATTCGACCACCTGGGGACCACTAGGATGACTACAAGGTCTCGTTCTCTCCCATCTTTTCATCTCCGCCCTAACTATCCTATCCCTCTTTGTATAATTACTTTATAGTCTTCTTCTTTAGAAGTTCCCAAGATTTCTGCAGGAGCGCGCAGGTTTGCTACAAGGACAAATCTATCGAAACTTCTTTCGACTGTCCTGAATGGTAACTTCAATTACTGCGCACTTAGAATTCCTCGAGCACGTCAAACAATGCTAGCTTTTTCATAATTCAAGTATTATATTTCAAGCTAACGCTCTTTCATCCTTTCAAAATGACTATGGAAGTCATTCGCGTATGCAGAAAAATTCGGCAAAAACTATGGAAACCCTTCGCTCATAATGTGGAAATACCTCTCACGCGACATAGCTTCATCGAAAGATTTCTACCCTTAAGACGAAATACGAGTGACCAGATGTCATTAGGTCTACCTGGCAAGGCTCTTTGAGTAAGGCTGGCTTGCGTGGTCAATCAAAACGCTGATCTGTATCAAGCTGTTGGACGTGAACATCTGCCCCTTTATCCCCTTTGAAGAAAATATTTTTGAAGGCGCCTACCTTGACGACATCGTGGGAAGCCTATCAGATGTGGACAGTGAATGCCCGAATAGACCTGCTCGATGCATTTGAAGAGCTGCAGTTGGGTCATCGGTTACGGCCTGCCTTTTGAACTTGTTGCGTCGGTTTTGAAACCAAATTTTGACCTGAAAGAAAATGGGTAGTACAGAACGTAGTATTTTCATTTTGCAGCGTTTTTCAAATCGTTTTGTCTTATAAGCGCCTTTCTTGGTCTGATTCTGGAACTTCAGTTCCAGAATCAGACCAATTCTGAACATTGCAAGAATTGTTGTGGGCAAAGACCCTTACTCACGATTTTCAAAAAATGAACTAATCTAAAAAGTCGAGCCCGGCTGTGTTCAACTGGGCCAGTAATGAGGGGTTATCACATTATCCTCACTCAAATGCTGCTCGTCAAAATTGCAAGTTCCAATTACAGTAACACCATGGTCGCCATTATCGACTCTCGTCTATCAACACCGTGCCATAATCGATGTTTCCTCTCTTTCTGCCTAATCTCCTCGCCCTCCTTTAAGGAAGACCCATTCCTGCCAACTGTCATACTGTGCAGATCTCATAGCCCCTCATTCCTCTTGCTCCTCATGGACAAACTGATTCGAAAAAAGGGGGTAACGGTTTGCCCCCAAAAGGGTCACATTTCAGGACCCTGTCCAGCAGAAAAGGACTCCAATGTGATCATGTGTGGGATCATTCTTAAAAGACCCTATCTGTAGTCTACACCAATACGTCTGGACTGGGAGTTTAAAAATGTTTGCAATGGTCTCCACCTCCTCGGCCACGAACCCCAACGATGATCAATCATCCAAGCTGTCTGTCGCACCCCATCCACCGTTTCCATGTTACTACCCCTGAAAACTTCAGCTAACTGCCCTTCTGGATTCTAATCGATTTTTGGTTCAAAATAGATTTTTAATAGTTGAAAACTGGTCCTCGAAATGAAATCTATGAGCTACGTAGTGTAATTACAGTGGTCAGACTGAGCGATGTTAGCAGGATTGCAAGGATTCCTGGGTGATCACCAGGGTAATCCATCGAAAATGCAGCTGAAGCATTTAGTAGCAAAGGCCATTACTGTTACAAATCCTGAACCAAGCTTGAAAGTTGATATCTATCTCAGAGGGTGCGGCTCTCACTGAACTGAATAGAACAATTTAAAACAGACCAGCCCAACGATTGAGGTAACAGTAACACAGATTTTCGGCTTCTACCCAAAAAATCAGATCAGTTCTGCATTGATATGAGGGGTTGCCGACAGCATGACTCAACAGAATTTAGATAATAAACAAATAAAGAAATACAAATAATTCTAGTAGTCTGTAAGCTGAACGGGCAATGGTGCATATGAGCATCAGGGAAAACATCACCAAAGGCATGAGATGAAAGAAGCTTGCTATGAAAACAAAGCTGAGACAGCGTTTCAAGAACGAAAACACGATAGTTGATAAAAGCAGCTGTTGGAAATGCATCCACAAATGGTTAGTTACTCATGAAATCATCGTGGTCAGCCACAAAATTCTAACTTTTCATTCGGTGGAGCCAGCTCGAATGGCAGAGAGATACACTGAATCTTATTTTACACCATAATGGAGGTCATGAAATCTCTATAACCGGTTCCTGACTGGTTCACGATAGGTCGAGGTCGTATGATAGGCTCATGAGGAACAATCAGTTTGAAAAGACCCACCTGTGTTTCGGTTAAATGAAGTTTTTGAGCCAGATGAGCTCTTTCTTGACTGCTGAGATAACGTTTCATATCGAACATCATTTCCAATTGAGATACCTGAAAAAAAATGGGATTGTGGCCGTTACCTAAACGTCTCTGCAACATTACGGCTTTACCTGATGCCGACTAAACACCGTTCGAGTCTTCTTTTTCCGGTTTACATTGCTTGGATCCGAAGATGTTTCGTCATCACTGCCTTGCGCATCACCTAAATTAAATATGTTTAATTAATTTTCTTGGCTTTGACTTTGACTTTTACGGACTTTCACTTCCATGATGATGAATTGAAGGTAGAGATTTCGCTAGGAATGTAAATAATTGGAGCGTAAATCTCTCTGAACTGTCGAGCGTGTGCTGGTGCTGATTGCAGTCAAAGACTTTTCAGTCAAGACATGGTCACAGCTCCCTACTACTCCACCCGTATTCCTAGAGCAGTTGCTTAGCTCAGAGAAATTATGAAGTAATCCGTATTTACCGACCCAGTTGTGATTCGTTCATGTTCTAATCTAGATTGTGGTATCGGTTGGGCCTATAGTTATAAATTAAATACAATACAAAGAAATTTTGCAAACATCATGGAAATTCTGATTCACAAAAGAAAGCAGTAGCAGTAATCGTTGTATCACAGCACCCAGTTATTCCTTGTTTACTTTCCGATGACAACTACTAATCACTGGGTTGTGTTGTAGCAGATGAGCAGCGACGCGACCCAGTTATTCCTTGTGTACTTTTTTTTGAGCAATTTGCTTGGCCACCTTCCTGGTTGCCCGAAAAAGCTGAATCGACCAAATGGAAGAAGAGAAGTTGAGCTTCGAGCAGAACAAGGTAGGGCAAACGCAACAGAAGAATATAAGTTTAGGACGGGGTTAAACGTTCTTATCAGTTACTCATGAATATGTTGACATCAAATTCACCAACAACCGTAAGGTGAAGCTACAAGTATGGTTAAGAACGTACAAAAAGGAGTGAGTTGTCGACGATGGAACTATTATGAGATCATCTGGCCGATAGCAAGACCGAGGCAGCTCAGGGACCCCAGTATCAGCAGCTATGGTTAGTGTTGTCGCAGTAGAGAGTTCGGGCGAAAATGAGTGAGTCCCTACACAAGAGTGATGTGTGTTTGAGTGCGCTTCTATTCATAAACGTGCAAGGCAGCTTCTCCTCCCTTCTTTATTATTTACTGATAATCTTCTGCTGTACAGAATGAACCCTCACCACAGTCTTCTACTTGCTCTTCTATATCGGAATCTGGAGAGCTCGCTTCTCCTAGTGCACTTTTCGGGGGGCATTCGGGACGTCCAAATTTGACCTGAAATTGAAGTTGATTTCGATTAGTGAGGAATAAATACGAGATTATGACTAAGAAAGGACCTTTTCTTCACTTGAATTTGGGTGTTCGAGTAGTATTTGAGAAATAGAGTAGGGGGAACTCGTAGTTGTGTCTTGTCCAAGGCCTGAAATGGAGGTGATTTTCAAATAGGATGGTGATGACTTTATTTTGTGGGCTTTTATGGAATGCTTCCCGACGATTTTTCACGGACTTTCAAGGGTGAAAAAGTTAGGGTACATAGTGGTGAATCGTCCAACCATGACAGTCGCGACCCCCGATCAAGTCTCGGGTCATAAGCCACTAGTAAGCGAGCGTTCCATCTCATGGGTGGTCGATTGAATGGTGCCAACGTTGCCTAGCAAGAAGCACAGTGTTCTACACCGACCGGCTCTGCATGTCGTTGAATAGGTCAGAATGAAATGTCGCTATGAACCAGAGTGGAGCCCGAGAGCGTAGGCTTAGGCTCCCAAAACGGCTCCGACTTATTCTTTGCCAGACTTTCACACGATCACGGGATACAAAATGATTACGAATATTCTAACTCATCCTGGAATCTTGTATGAGTCTGCGTTCTATCTTTCAAGCTTGCCCTCGCCTCATCCCTAGATGACAATCTTTACACGGGAACTTAAGGCTATTTAGAAGTTAGTTTGCTTCTGTTGGGATATAAGTTCTATAAGTGCGAGGGCAAAACGTCTACTCAGAAATTCTGGAATTTTCTATTGTGAAATGTCAGCCTCGTAACATGTTTCCTTATTTTCTTACTAATTTAAGCACAGCGGCTTTCGGAAGGCTATCTGGCTCATCACTAGGATCAAACACCATAAGTGTTTCTTCATTTCATTTTCTCTCTCTCGTGGATATCGTTCTGGACTTACTGTCGATGGTCGCTACAGTGCATAGGGGAAGTGAAACACCACAAAATAGGCCTCCTGATATCCTTCCATCCAACAAAAGGTCCACTTTGGAAAAAATGGATTATTATATGGGAACTTTCCCTTCTCAATTCCCCTTAGGTCGCTACCATGTTCACGTTCCCCAAGTACAAGTCGGCTTCAAAAAAACTTTGTAAAAAAAAGCGATGATTCTGGCTGCATGTGCATAATAATTGTTCTCGTGTTCATCTGAGGAAATGGCTATACTCAGCTGCTGAATGCTTGGCGAACAGTCATCCGTTGTTGTCTGCTTTAAGATTTCCTCCTTCAGCCTAATAGATTCTTAATCGCAACCCGGATTCCCAAAGCAGTGTGCGTTAATGTGTTAAGTGGACCGCCGTTTTTCTCGTTAAAAGCGTTCGGTGATAATTCGTTCTAATGTACGTTCACAATATGAGCGCCTCATTCTTTACACACAAAAAAGATCCATGCGATTGGGCTTAGCTCATCAAGGGAACCAAACGCTCCGATATGTCGAGAACGCTCGGAGTTGGGAAATTTTCAGAAGGCACATGGATCCCACCCAACCTTTGATCATGGAGCATATTGAAAAACGATAGGTAATGTGTTGTAATCAAAGGGTACAGCGCTATGACAATAGTAATTGTCGTCGGTGGGTGGTAGATGTATATCTCAACGGCATACTACTGTGGGTGGTGCAGTTCACTGGCTAAATACTTCAGATCTCGCCGCGAACTTCTTAATGAGCACCCTAATTTATCTCGTTAGTCCTTTGTTTCCGAGGTTCTTTCTTGTACCATCATGTATTTGTGAAAGAGGTGAGGGACTGGTTATGAGGTAACTCCAAACACCATGCTCCAATGACCTGCAATTTAATCTGCCCTTTACTTGTTCCGCTGGGAGAATGCTCAATCCAGTAACGTCCCCATTTGAATACGACCGTTTATGGAACGGTCTTTGATGGAAAAACCCAACTTAAATCCGCTGAAGCTGAAGAAACAGGGCTAAAGGTGGCAAAGAAACAAGCCTAACCGAAAAAACCTGACCTGGATTCTGTGCAGATTTCATCTTGGGTGAGGCAGTGCTGGATACGGATGGGGCAGCGGTAGACGTCGGCATCATCCACGGTATAAAAGGTAGCCCTGCTCCAAATAGTCCCGGGGGTCCAATACTGTGTTGGAATANAACTTAAATCCGCTGAAGCTGAAGAAACAGGGCTAAAGGTGGTAAAGAAACAAGCCAAATCGAAAAACCTGACCAGGATTTTGTGCAGATTTCATCTTGGGTGAGGCAGTGCTGGATACGGATGGAGCAGCGGTAGACGTCGGCATCATCCACGGTATGAAAGGTAGCCCGGCTCCAAATAGTCCAGGGGGTCCAATACTGTGTTGGAATAGTGCTGCCAACTGAGGGAATGCAAATCTTGAATCGAACATCATTGGCGGTTCCTCGTCTGTGCTCACCGACGATGATGGGGACGTATGTGGTAAGCTGAAAAACGGCAAAGACTGGAATGGGTAACGCTGTAAGAAGATCTGAAAATATCAAAAAACAGGAATAAACGTTTACTTCTTCTGATCAGTCTCGAGTAGGTCGAGGATGTTGAATTTGCATGTCGTGGGTTCGCTGGGTTCATCGGAATTCGATGCAGACAGATCATTTCTGAGCACTTTCCGTGATGTTGAGCTCATTCCCTGTGACGATAGACGTTTCAGTGTCTCATCCATCAAAATGTCCCTGAACTGACATTTATTCAAAATCATTTTGACAGCAGATACTAGAAGGAGAGTAGCGACTTTGCAAAGAAAGAAAAACCTCACAGCAATAAACAAAACCGTATTAAAAACGATGAATGTTCACTAATAGTATTTCTACATGGTTTGCTGTTCATCATAAATCTATTCTTAGTAGAAGCAACGAAGCGATGATAAAAAACAAGGTAGAGATTCGAATAAATGAAGGGAATACATAATTGTTAACAGCTGAAGCTGGGTGCTGTCAAGCGTGAACACTTTATATGAGCATTGTTAGCATTTGATAACGAATTCAAGTGAATTCGACAAGAAACGGAAATACATCTCTCGCCTCATAATTTCTAACATTACGGGGCTATATAATTCACAGCGAGTTTGTGGCGAACACCCTCAAATTAGCCCCCGTTGAGACAAGGCCGTGATGCTTTCCCAGCAGCCACGCCCACCTAGGTGAGGATTACGGTAACCCGCCCGTGGATCCGCGAATCCCGCTCGTTGCTTGCAATAACAATTACTGACGGAACTGACGACGAGTATCGTTGCTCCGTGAAACTCGTTTTCAGGCTTTACATAGTGTAAATAAGAAAAGACAGTTAATTAAAATGGGCAGATCGCGGAATCGTCTTTACTCATCACAAAATGACTGATGGGAACACGAACGTGGGGAACGAAACAGGCGCTGCAGCTCACTTTGGGCATGGGGCCTGTCATATGGTCCCTCGTGATCTTCTTCAGCCCAGCCTTCCCAGTCAAAACTTCCCGGAATCAGTTTATGAACGCTTATGAAAGGGCCATAAATGGAACTGACTGATTTGAAAATGAAGAAAAGATCAAATAAATAAAACAGACTGGCAATGAAGAAGAGATCAGAACATTCTCTTGCCTGTATGGGCAAGCCACTGGGTACCCTTCATGGAAATGGGAGCATTTCTGACCACAAATAAAGAAAGAAACAATAGCAATGGACCCGTTTAAATGGAAAAATGATCCTAGGCATCAAAGTGATATATGCAAATGCTCAGGTCAAGCTCGGATTAGATGGTGTCAAATTGACAGAAAGGTAAGCCGGATAATGAGCAACATGGGGATGTGTCAGCGTTCACGCTGCGCAGCATCCCTTGCACGCCTAATGCACGGCTACATAAGTCGTGCAAGCAGCTAACAATCTAATCGACCTCATTCTTAAAGTCGATTACTGTATCCTTCCCGGAAATTGTTAGGTATGGGCTAGCATATACTACTCATCATCTTGGAGGTCAAGATGTGGGTAGCTTTCAACTGACAACTGACACTATCTGAACTATTTTGAACAGCTCATGGCATGCTTTTCATACGGCTCCCTGTAATCAAATTATTTCGCTCGGTCACTTTGTATTACCAACTGTTATCATTAGTTATCTCGTATATATCCATCACAGACACATTGACAAATTCGAGTCATAGGAGCTGATATTGGAGGATCTCACTCTTGTTTTGGTACAAGCTCGGGATGGATGTCTGGAATGTTCGAAAACTAAGGGCAATTTTCATATTTCATTTGAATAAAGCCGTTTGTGGGGCTTTTAAAAAAGCGAGGGATCGAAATCTGTGACCCTTGGAGGATCGTGTCAGACAAAAAAGGAAGAGGATAAGACCAGCTTATTTCGATTCTTAAAAACATGAAGAGGCCTGGTTTGTCGGTACTGCTTGACCTGGTTAACCTCGAGCCCACTTTAAGAAAATTGGTTCTCTTGTCTGTTTGCCTGATGGTAGGCATGTCTTACAAATGTCAGCGTGACCTTTTATCCCCTACTAGACCGGAATGCCAACGGGAAAGCATATCTCTTTCCTAAGGTCCGATCATCTCCGGTTGTTTGCAGATCCCATGATCATTACAAGGGTGTTAATGACAACTAGATGCATTGAATGGAGGTGAAGAGAAAGGTAATCAAACATAAGTGGAGAAAATACACGAGTAAAAAGGAGCAGGGTAACATAAGAGCAAGGGAATTTGCTAAGCTTTGAAGCAGTCCGTGTGGGAGCAACCACTATTTGAAGGTCAAAGTGACAAGCACGGTCAGCGCATATGAACCATAAACCACCGAGTGAATCGCTATAAATCGGTTCTTTGTTGTGCTAGCACATGTCGAAGCCTCTTCGAAAGTTTAAATCAAGAACTTCTAGAATGAGCATTTGATATCCTGGAAGGGCAGCTCTCGATGGAGCCCCTGACTGGACGATAATTGATCACTTAATTTCGCCCTTGAGTGATCTGTGGAACTGAACCACTCGACTTTTGGTAGCAAAGATGAGTGGAGGATTCCTTGAGAAAAACAAAAAGATATGAAGTTGGCCTGTGGTATACGGTAACTGACAGCTGTGGGAGTAATCATGAACCAATTACTGAAAGAGCCTCGGCGTTGGATAAATGTCAAATTAGCTTTATGGGCGACAATGGCAATATGCCGTTCGCTTCAATTAGTCTCATGATGACTGAGCACATTCTTCGAAGAATTCACGCGTCGCTCCACTAATGGAAAAAATCATCTGCGATTTTTAGAAGGAAGGCCTCTTTCTGCTCCTCTTAAGTACATTGCCATTAAGTTTGCAGCTATTCACACAATAGCTAGCTCGATGACATCCAGTAGGTGACTTGAAAGACATATCGTTGCATACAGCTGAGTGAAATCGGAAAAGCTTCCCGAATTCTTCTGAATCCTTCTTTTTTCTATTAAGGAAATTTACTACGAGGAAGTTAGGGTTAGCTTCATATTACTAATATCAAGCTATTACAATTATTACAACATTAATTCCAAGTATCGTAAAAATTGTATGTCGCTGTCAGTGTTAATTATATTCCTGCTGGTTATAAGGTTACTCTGGTTGACACCGAAGGCGGCTACTCCAGTCATAGTGCAAGATGCAAGGGTGAATTCATTTCTCAAGAGGGATTACGGTATTTCAAATTGTACGTGTTTGGTTTCCATACAGAAATCTAAACAGTACTCCTGGTTTATAATTAGCTGGTAAAACCAAGGATCGTATGTGTAGATCTAGTCTAGGCTACATCTTTTTGTTACATGACAGCTCGACCCGCTTGATTCGGGACAGCTCGATAAGATTACCACCTTTCACTATTCGTAATCACTGGCAGAGTTGAGACTATGATGTCTTGTTTGATTTGGAGAAGTTTGAAAACTCTATTTTGATAGCGTTTCTGATAAAGCAGACCTGTGAAGTTGAGTTGATGATCCTGGGGACGAGATAATCTTCGATGCGATAGGAGCAGATGAGCACTACACGGTCGCAACAATAATAAACAAATTATTGGGAATGGCAGTTCCAGTACATCCATTTTGTATTGCATTATCCTACAGCTTTTAGAAAATATTTATTTTATTTGCTACTGTACTCCACGTTTTTGGACAATACATTTTACTTCGAGTGTTCTTATCTACCGTGTTCATAACCGAATGCTCGAAATGCCTCTATTAACGGCGTAGTTAATCTTGATTTCAAGTCGCTAGAAAAGTAAATGAGTGAATGCGGATAGGACAATGTGTGTCAGAGTTGGGAACTCTTTCTCTCCACGATATGTGTGTAAAAGTGGGGTCCCTCAGGGGGGTGTGTTATCGCCACTTCTATTTTTATTGTATACTCATGATTTGCCGGTTAGACTCAAAACTCATCCCTCAATCGAAGTACGCATGTACGCGGATGATATCAAAATTTATGGCGTATATAGTGCTGAAAACCATGATGAGGTATTTTATGCTCTTTCTCGATCCGTTTCCAACATGATGGAGTGGGCCTCGGCTTGGGATATACCTGTCAATCTATCCAAAACAACTGTTCTCCATATAGGCAAGACGATATACAAGGAATATAAGTTTGGTAGCTATGTTCTCAATAAAGCTAATGATGTACGTGACCTTGGGATCCTCGTGAATTCTGACCTTACTTTTGAACCACATATAAGGAATGTAGTTCTCAAGGCGTTCTCTGTACTCTTTGCAATTTGCAGAAATATACAGAGCAACGACTGCTCAATTTTACTTAAGTTGTACAAGGCCTATGTAATCCCCATCTTGGAGTACGGCTCACAGGTGTGGAGTCCGAGTACGCGTAAATATCAAAAGCAAATTGAAAAGGTGCAACAAACATTTACGAGAATTTTAGTGCATAGGAGTGCATCCAATTTCGGTAGCACTTCTATGCCAGGTTACAAAGAAAGATTAAAGAGCTTTGGTTTGAAAAGCCTTCTTTGTAGGCGCGTTTTCAACGACCTAGTTTTCTGCTTTAAGCTTCTGAGAGGCGAGTTAAAGATCAAACCTAGCAAGTACTGGATCTTTAAACCTTGCAGAGGCCGTCACACTGAGCTTTCCCTCCAATATGCGAGGAATGGCAGGTACTACCAAGCTAAGGCCCTCAACTTGCTTTTCTTCCGAGGTGCTAGATGGTTGCAGATGCTCCCACCTAGCATTCTGGAGGCTAGAAACATTTCAGTTTTTAAGAAAAGACTCAATCAAATAGATTTACTTTCTATTCTTGATATTGCAGATCTCTAGCTTCCTATTCCAGCGTTGGAAGTTTTTCCTAGTTTCTCGTCGTTCTGTCGTTCTGCAATGCATGGTGGTGATCGTGTTTCGTCAACAATACTGCTATCGCTTCTCGCGAATTTATGTTCGACTGATGCTTGCGAAGGAATGCTTCTCTATCTTTAAAGTATACTCACAGCGCATTATGGATCTGGATTC